GATCGGTGTTCTGGTAGACCTTTTGGACTCGTATAGACCAAAATATTTGTCCGAGTGCCTGAAATCATCTCAAGTTCTTATTATAGCTCTCTTAGGGATTGCCATCCTTCCTCTGGTTCTCATGTCACTCGCAATTAATTTTATTGTCAGGAATGTTTGCTTTTTTCTCTAAGCTGAATTCATCTATAAAATCTTTTAACATTTGTGCTCAGACCTCATTTTTCTATTTACTATTCTTACATATATTTTTCCAGCCCTAGAATTAAGTTCAAGCTAATTATCTGTAATTACTTTGCCCAGAGCCCTGAAGTTACTGGTCTTACTCAAGCTAAAACTTGCATTTCTTATATCTAGGATGAAGGGCTTCCAGGGGTCTCTTTTTGTCTGAGTATTTAATTGTCAAATAGGGAATAAAAATTTGAAAGCTCTGACCTTAATTGACATTTCATAGATAGAAATGACTTTGCAGATTTTTCTACTATGTCAAGATGCTATTAATATCTTTCAATGGCACATGAATTGAGGATCTTGGTGGATGGGAAATTGGGCACCAAAAGGCACAATCAAACACAGCAACAAAAAAAATGTCAGGCTGTGGACCAGATACACTGTAATGGTCAATGCAGATACGTGTGCTGCCCCAGTTCCAATGCCAAGGCTAGCAGGTAGAACTCACTTAGACTTCATGGCCATGCCATATGAGAGTTCAAATGAGGAACCAGCAGACCAGTGTTCATAATGAAGAAAAAAGTAAGGCTCCTCTTACTCCGTGTATCAAGCCGACGATCACATATCCCAACTCTTGCTTCCGCCCATCAAGAAACACACTGGGAATGAAGGGCAGAGCTCAGAGATAGAGCGCTTGCCTAGCATGCATGTGGGGCTGGGTTCAACCCATGGAACTACACACACACACACACACACACACACACAAATCCACATATATACACACACACAAATATACTTCTTGGATCAAGCGCAGAGGACTTGAGACTTTAACAAAACCAATACAAGTTTACATAATACTTTTTAAAAAGGGCTGAGGATGATTTATGCTAATATAGCTTTCTATTTATCTGTCTTAATGTTGTCTCATATCTTACTAGAAAAAAAGCCGGGCATAACAAAATTTTTAAATACTTATGGTAGTTTTTCTGGCTTTAAAATTTCAGTAACTTACATAAAGTGTTTCTTTGTTTTTAAATTTTAAATTGTATAGTTGTTTATGTAAAATACTGACAACTTTTTCCTGAAAAGAATTTTTTAAGAATAACATGAGCTGCACACTGGTGGTTACTGTGAATCTTTTCAATCTTAAGTATATTTCACTTAAGATTTCAAAGGAATTTTTACAGCAGTTAGCTCCATGTGTTTATAAATATAAAAGCTTTACTAAAAATCTTTCTTGGTGCCACAGGGATTTAAACTAAAGCTAGGATAAGAGAATGTTCTAAAGGAATTCAAAGGGTCTAAAATTGTTTATAGAAATTTTTCTTAGAATATTATTTAATTGATCCTTCTGTTAAAATGGATGTCCGGTGTGGTGGTGCACGCCTATAATCCTAGCCCTCTGGGAGGCTGAGGCAGAAGGATTGCAAGTACAAGACCAGCCTGAACAACTTTACAACTTAGTGAGGGCCTGTCTCAAAACATAAAAGAAAAGGCTGAAGATGAGGCTCAGTGTGAAGGCCCTGGGTTCAGTCCTGAGCACCACACACACACACACACACTCACCCAAAAGGAAGTTTTTCCTCCTAATTATTCCTTCAGTCTTTTTAATATTTGTTAAGTACATGCCATGTGCTCCACCCTAAGTGGGCACTGAGGTACAAAGATTAATGACCTCCTTTTGATGTGAAGGAGTTCCTTTCCTACTAACGGAAGTCTTCACATTAACAAGTAATCATAATATGACATTCTTGATGTAAATAAATTTAGGAATAGGAGCAGAGAGAAGGGTATGACTGACTTCCTTATCAGGATAGGATGAAACTTAGAGAGGAAATGACATTTGAGCTGGGGCCTGAGGAGTAATTAACCGGCTTTAGGGTTGAGAGGGGGGACATACCTGGGGAAGCTCTGTCAGCCTAGCTCTCACATCTCAGCAAAGTATTACAGGAGCTCCTTAGAAAGAAAACTACAAAGGAGCCAGAACAGCACTTTCATGTTAGAATACATTACAGAAAAACTATAGAGTTGAATGCTGAGAAGAAATCAGATAAGCATATATTCGACTCTAAAGGGGATAAACGAATAAATGTTTTCTTTCTTCCAACAAAATTGCAGAGTACTAGATCCAGAGTTAGAGTTCAAAGACGCAATCATCACACAGGATGTATTTCCCACATCTGCAGTATTATTATATGGTGCGTTACCCTCATGAAGATATAAAGGGTGAAATAAGAAAAAATGGAAGACACGTTATCTAAATCCCTAAGTGACTGCCTCCGGACTTGTATACCCAAGCTCATTAGGTAGATAACTGAAATTCAGTCCCAAGCTTCAGAGTTTGACTTTATAGATTATACCTATCCACTCACATATGTCTGTTGGCCTCAGAATGCCTAGGCCAATGGACTATTCTGACGTAACATTTTCACGCCCTTCCATAACATTCTAGTAAACATATTTCATGGCTAAATAATCATTTTCAGAACTACAATCTGATTCCAAGGACAATAGTACAAAATCAAGGAAAGTATGGCCTTTAAAGTACTTTAAAATAAAAATTGTCAACCCAGAATACACAATTTCTGTATCCTTTGTCTGCAGATCTTATTCTGACTTCATTCTTATCAAGCACTCTTAAAAACTTAGTCTGGAGAACCCAGAGAAATTCAAGAGTTTTCCTTCATCTTATGTCAATCTTAAACAAGAAGTTGTCAGTTATCACTGTTTGGGGGAAGAATCTTGGTGCTTGGTTGTGCAACTTGAAGGAGACACATCAGGGATGATTTCAGGGTATACTGACTAGCATTGTTTAAGGTAGATGATAATAAATCACTACTGCTAATACTTATAATATAATGCAAAAAAGCCCCCAAAAGGAATTAGGTTAAATCAAATTTCAGATGTATATGTGGCTTTTCCCCCTCAGTCTTGCAGGTTTATTCTTTCAAAAGGAAGTTTTCTTATATCACAGAAGTTCATAACAGTTTGCCAGAATCTGCATGAGCCCTGTAGCAATGCTATGCTTGTAGAAAAGAAGAGGATAAAGAAGAGTATCTCTGGAATTTTTCTTTCCAAGTGAAACTGAAGCTCTAAAAAAGCTCCTGATATGCTTTCATTCCTGCTTCCATAAAGACACAGATAATCTTTATAGGCCCCACCACATTTTCAGCACTTCCAAAAATAAGCCAGACCTAATCACCTAGTCATTCCCCATTTAATATTTTGAAATATGATACTATATTATATTTTACAACTTTTGAATGTAGATCAAAATTTTAAAGTAACTGTTACCAAACTACCCAACTAAGAATGTGAAGAATGGTAGAATAATAGTGTGTTGTATGTTTGGATGGATGGATAGATAGACGGGAAAAAATAAAATTTTAAATGTGTAGTCTTTAATATTTTAGAATAATAGTAGCCATCAGAATTTGAATTTGTTTTGTAAACTTAAAAATTATTTTGCTATAGAGATTTATTCAGTCATTCTATTAGATAAACCTGGTGTCTTGAACCAATAACTGACTACTTCAGGATCTTATTATATCCTTTATTTAAGTAGAATTTCTCCTTTGTGTAGCAAGATTGAACAAATGAATTTTTTTATAAGTTGGTTTCTTTCTTAGAACTTTGTTCCTTGCTAAGATTCCTTTTATCATTATACAGAATCCTAAACTATGACTTGATTACTTTCAAAGTAAAGACATTAGCTGAAGTGAGCCTCTGATTTTTGGTAGGAAACAAATAGTTGAGCCCAAGTTGAAACATTTTTTTGCCTCTCTGGCACCCAGCCCCTGGATGTCATTTTTAAGAACTGTGATCATGTTGTGTCCAGTGATATTTTAAACAAATGCTATTTAATGCTTCAATGAATGCAGAGGATAAAGATGCAATTTTTTTGAGATGAATGACATAATAGAGAGTGATTTTTCTTTTTAAAGTTATCCTAAGGAAACAGAAAACTGAGTCTGAATCTTCTGACTTCTCCCTTTTCTCTCACATGTGCCCTTTGTTTTCTGTGTCCTTTTCACATAATATAAGTATATGGTGAGGATCTTTTGTTTCCTTGAGGGCACACAAGAACAAAAACATCTTTATAATCAACCCAGAAGTGACCAGTTTTTCTCCAAGTCTACAGGGTTCAGAATAAGAGCCGTGAAGAGCTGGCAGTAATTTGGGGGGAATAATGTTAACACCATTGCGCAGGAGACTTGGATGGAGAGTCGGATTCCACTTTCTAAGTATTTTTCAGACTCTACCAAGGAACATTTGCAGCTAGACTAAAACTCATAATCCTCTAAACTAAGAAAATCATTAGACATCTTGAGATGGGCAAGAAAAAAACAGACCTTCATTTAGCACTGAGTCACTCGTGAGTTCAACAACTTACCCATTAGCATTAGTTCACACCAAAGTCATTTCCAGATCAGAAAAAGGTAGCCTGCTGGGCAGACACACCCAGGTGAGCACATGGCCCTGTGTGGAGCTAGGCTGAATCTCACATTTTCTGACACCTCAAGAAGTCAACCTGATGCAGGTCGTAATCTGCAGAACTGGATTTGACAATCTTATTTATACAGATGTGTTTGTTTAGTGCTTACAAATCATAAGACACAAAATAACTAGAATATTTATCTACGGTTGTTACAGAGTAAGACTGTGTCAGACTGGAACCATAAAGTTTTCTATAGCAAATGTCCTATTCTTCTCTGTATGTATTCAGATAAGCATAAAATAATACTTGATGAAGATTCCTTATAAAAATGTCAAAGAGCAACCAAGAAATTTCTCTCTCCTGTGTCCCATTACCAGGAGAGTAGAATACTTACCACCGTCTTCAACTGTAAAACGGAACATGTCACTTGTGGCATTGGCCCCCTCTTTCAAGACATAGCATATTTTCATGTCATCAATGTCAGCTAGAAAATAACCAAAAAACCCCAAGATTAATTACTAGAGCAAAATAGATGACTCGTTCCTTATGGACCATTCTAATGGGTATTATTTTTCTGTAAGTCTATTTAAATCTTCTAAGGAGAACAGTGCTATCTTATTTCTCAGATATCTAAGCCCCTTGATTTCAGCTGTCCCACAGAAATCAGATCCCTTACACAGATAGAGTACAAGACTTAGGTTATAATAATACCAAGGTGTTGCCCCTCCCAGTGGTATTTGCATGTTCATGTACCAAAGGAATAACTCCCTAAATATGGAATGTCAGACACCATGACAGGTGGAAAGAAAGATATTTTGGGGCATGGCAGATTTCCTGGCCCTCTTGAAATCACATCCTTTCCCTCCCTGTAGGACTGGGCCTCAGAAGAAAGAGGCTTTGCCTCCCCATACTGGCTCACTTTTCTTACCATTTTTATTGTGGCAGGCTGTTTTTAAGCTCTCCAGAATTTGAAAGGAAAAAATCCAGGAGTTATTTTCTCATTCCACAGATTAAAATAACTATGATGACTTAATATGGGGAGAATTTAAAGCAACAACAATAACAACAAAAGCCTAATGAAAATGAAAAACTGTATTCCTAGTAGAAAGTTATCCTTCCTCAGAAATGATCTTCATGTTACCTCCTACTCTATCAAATTTGCTTGCATGAATTTTTTTTCATTACTAAGGCACAAATTTTAAAATTTATTCATCCATTTCCCCTCCTAAAGACAAGACAATATAACAGATAATCATTTTGCTCTGTGATACACCCAACAGATCATTACTGTATTTGATCTGGGCCTATCAGTGAGCTTCCAGGGTTACAGAAAATCAGATCCTAGCTAAAAATAGCTTCAATGTGGTATGTGATATTTACTTCTCTCAATGTATTTTATGGTTTTTTAAAATGTCTTGAAAGCTCTGCTGAGTTCATGCTATGCTGGTCAAAGGCAGCTATATAAGACAGTGACTCTGAAAGAATTACCTAAAGTGAGGCAAGTATTAGGATCAACAAATTACTCCATGAATTCCTATAGTTCCACTTCATAGCTGTGAAGTGTATCCTCTATCCTCTCTTTGAAAGGTGACTTACAACCAGGAATGCCCAGGGAGGGGAAAATCTGACTTTCTATTTAATAGTGCTTTCTTTTTAATAGAGGTTATTGGAAGTGAAATAAGTCCAAGATGTTTTGTTCTCATCTAGAACTTCACTTTTCTCTACTATAATTCCCCCCAGTTACTGTCTAGTGTCATTTTTTTACCTTTCTGTACAGCTATCTTCCAAGGAGATTAAAACCTTTCATTTTTCTCTTAATCTTGACTTCTCACAATTCTTTTCTCAAAGTCTTATAATAAGTATAAGCTCAAATGTTTCTTATGAGGAAATGAAGGCGTGGTCTGGTAGACCACACTGGCATCTCTACCTTCAGGTGCCTGGATTTTGCAGCGGTAAGGAGTGAAAGGCCCTGCACAGCTCTTTGACTGTTTACTCTTCACAGTAAGTGAGGAAGCAGACCCTGCTGACTATACATCCCCACCTTAGGGATGATGACCTCAGGCCAAGTGTAAAACTCTCTTTTCCAATGCTCTCACCTTTTCTTAAGATTTAAGAAAATCTAAAAGCTGTACTAGGAGGTAAGAAAAACCTGTTCAATATTCCCAACATATGTATTAGTATTTTCTAAATAAAAATGTAATATTTAGGAGACATTTTCATTGAAATAACTTATAGCCTCGAAACTGATTTTTAAGAACTTGTTTTCATAAGTTGGAGAAAACCTGAATGCAATTACACAACACTCAAGTGTCACATTTCCCCTCCAAATTAGGAGACATGATACTGATTAGTTGAAACATACTAAAACCCTTTTCATTTTCCTTATAACTTTGTTAACACTCATTCATGGTTCAAAAAGGAAATGGTTTCTCTTACATGAAAAACCTAGATATAAACAAATTAAAGAACAGAATAAAAGATAGGTAATAGGAAATGGAGAGAGATCATTTGCAAAAGGAAAGAGGACCAAGAGATGGAGAGGTGGGGAGGGAGGAGGAAACAAAGGGGATTAAAAAAAATTGAGATGTGTTATGTGCACGTACCAACTCCCCAGGATGATTGTAATTATAATGTACTACAAACATGTACTAATAAAAAATTAAATAAAAAAGAAACACAAAAGAGAGACTTCTAAAATCTCAGGAAAGTAAAGACATTGATTATAATTGGATCACAGGTATCCCATAAAATAGCATTAGCATGCTGCAAATACACATATACACTAGCTTTCTTAAAATATGTTGTTTAGACATATCTGTATGTCTAATTTAAGTAAACAACTAGCTAGATTTTCTTCCAAATGTTAAGCATGAGATTACATTTATTTCCTTTTATCTACACAATCATTCTATTCTTAAAAAAGATTTTAAGTTTATTAATATGCCCAGTAACTCTACCTTGTTTAAACTCTTTGGGGCTATTTCTGCTTTTCTGAAAGTGATGCATCAATTATCCCACAAAAATATGCACTTATTGTAGAGAAAAAATAATCCAGGTGCTTGAGACAAGTGATTTAGACCCAAGGTGGGAGAGGGGCAGAGACACCTTGACAAAGAGGTGAAATTTGAAATATGTTAACAATTTCCCTAATTCACCAAGCTCTGTATTGTTACTTTTCCTAATAATGAACTTTAATAAGTTTTGCAAATAAGTTAATTTTTTTCTGCTAGGGACCAATATTAGTCAACAACCTGAAAAAATGAACTCTAGTTACCTTTGCTAAATTGATTTGATTCAGTGCAGTGAAAAATGCATCAAAGCATAGGTTAGTTCATCCATTCATAGCAAAGCAAAAGCAAATAAGAGACTGCACAGTCCTCACCCTAAGCACCACTTTCATTTCTCCCGCTGGAAAAGCAGCCATTAGGCTCCCTGATGGAGGCTTCTCCATTTTTAATCACTTATCTAATCTTCATAAATAACTGCTGAGCACCAAACTCCAGCCTCAGCTTGTTCAAATGAGAGCTGTGTGATCAAATACCAACAGTTTTCCCAGTCAGTATTTGAGTTTGTATTGGAATGTGACAATTTAAAAATAAAATTTCAAAAGTTCATTATGGTAACCCCAAATCAGTGAAAAATATGACTGTCTTTAATGAAATAGAATAATGTTAAGGTTTGGGAGTTAAGAAATAATACTCCAATATTTTGAGTTGTTGGACTTGGTTCACAGAATTTAGATTATTTGCTTGTCTTCATTTAAAAATTCTTTTTAAAAAACCCTCTAAAAGCAAATTTCTTTTCAGAAGAAGGATTTGAAGTGCCATTTTCCATCCTCTAACATATTCTTTTCATCCTCTTTGCTTTCTGCAAAAATAAACCAGTGTAAGATTGTATGATACCACTAGATCCAGAAAACCTTCACACAAATGTTTCCTGCTGGTCTGGCTGACACTTGGCACTCTGATGTTTTCCTGTCCCTGCAGGCCCTAGGATATATTCAGGCTTACAGCCAAGAATTAGTAGGCTGGAGTGTGAGGCTCTTTGCCAGCATCACACAGAGAAGCAGTTCACTTTAACGCTACACTTTACTACATCCATGTTTACTAAAGCATTTGTTATGTGCTAACATAACACTGTTGCAGGAAAAGAACACCTCCATTGGGATGGCCTGGGGTTAAATCCATCTCTACCCTCACAGCCCCATAGGGTAGATCTAGTTTCCATTCTGACGTGAGTTTTTCAGGAAAGCAACACGAATCCCTTTGTAATGAAAGTTGCACATTCTAGAGAACAGAGCCCTAACTCCCAAGCCAGTAAACTGAATGGGCTTCTCCTTTCTCTCACTGAGGAATTCTGTGCAGATCACCTGCCCTTCCTGTCTCAGATTGTTTGCCCTCAAGGGAAACTCAGGTTAGAAAATCTCTGTTGCCTCAGAATACACGTGCTGAAGACAACTGGTACCTGTTACTGAGTTTGTAACAGGGCAGAGAGGAGGCTTAAAATGATGAAATTATTTCCTCCCGCTACTACGAATCTTGTTTATGTATCTTCAGGTTCCTCCTAATGAAATGTGTATATAGTTTGGTGAGGAATATATTATTTTCTTATTCATCGTCAAGTATATTCTTTTTTGTGAGTACCCCAGTAGCATATTCTATATTATGTAACATATATTTGCCATAATTCTAAATACATGTTTATCTCTTATGTCTTTGGATAGGTGTTTGCCTGTAATATGAAACAGTATTAAATATTTTTTAAATTTAAAAGTAAATATCAGCAAATATTTTTCTTCACTTATACAGTTTCTAATAACCACAGCAATATCAGCACAATGAACTTAAAAATTAATTAAAGTAACATAAAAGGAATTTTTAACGCTAACTGATAAAAACGTGACTAAATACAACTTACACAATTTAACTCTCCTTAAGGTACTGAAAGCATCATGGAGGATGTGCAGCATACAAAATAGAGGGTGCTCAGGGAAAAGGTGTGCCAAATGCAGCAGAGTTAGAAAGTCTACCTCTGTATCAATTTGCCAAAGTCTTGCTCCTCCATTGGCAGCATATCTGGTCACTATCAAAATATTGGACACTGACGCTGCCTCCAATGATGGCCACTGCAGTGGAACATATAGCAAAAAAGTAGCTGCTTTCCAGGAAAGTAAGTCTATTTCTCCTTTTCCCTTTGTTCTATTCCCTTCACTTCTCTTGAGCTCTAACGCTCTCTATGTAAGGGTTTCAGTGACAGCCGTATACTCAGGAAATAAGATCTGGAATGTCCTTTGGTTATAGGAAAATAAAAGTGAAACATACCTTGGGTAAACTGATAGATGCTGTGGTTGCCTTTGCCCAGGTTCAGAAGATACCCATGTCGAGGGTCCTCTGTCACAACAAACTGAAGAGAAAAGTGCAGGCTGTCTCTGTCCTCCACTTTCAATATTTTGCTTGTGATCATGAAACCCAAGTGGCCAGTGGCCAGAGTGCGAAGTGTAGAGGCCCCTTTATTCACTGCAATTTGAGGAGCATTATTATCAACAGCTAAGACCTGGATCTTCATCACTTGAGGTCTCCTTGTTTCAAATACTGTATCGGGAAAAACATAGAAGTCAGTGTGCGTGCCATCCGTCACTGTGAAGGAGAAGCTGTCTTCAGTTGACTCTGTGCCATCATGTTTGTAGCTTATTAAGTTTTCATTCAAGTCTTGCTTGGTAAAAACCATGACAGGTCTGGTATTGTTGAAGAGTATATGACCGTGAACTGGCATCTGGGTAACAGTGAATTTCAGGAGTTTGTCAGGGGTATCTCTGTCTTCAACAGTGAGTTCAAAGGGAGTGATCAGCTTGCTTTCACTTTCGCTGAGCACCAAATTATGAATGGTGACCACTGGCTTTTTGTTGTCCACATCACTAATGGAAATTCGGAATGTTCGGAAGACAGGGTTACGACCATCAGTGACTTGGAACTCAAAACTGTCCATCTTCACCTCATCTTCTGCCGTGTGGATATAGTAGATTTTGTTGCCAGCTAGTTGAAGCTGAGTGAAAGATATGATGGACACTCCAGTTTGATCTGTGCATTCTAAGTGACCTCTTGTGGGAGCCCTGGTGATGGTAAAAACTAAATTTTCATCAGGACTGTTCAAGTCACTGGTGCTTAGTAGGTCTGTTGTGAGAGTGACTTTCCCACCTTCTTTCAGTGACACTCCCTTGCTTATGACATCAGGGAAGACAATGTCAATGCTCCCAATGGATACGTAAAAGTAACGATCTATGAGGGGATTTATTCCATCAGTCACATCAAATTTAATTAAGTCTCGAATGCCCTCTTGCCCATAATGAACATACTGAATTAAGTTTCTGTCCACTTCATCCTGGGTAAAATTCATGCCCAGTGTGATATTTTCAAAGGCACCTGTAAGTTTTCGCCTCTGTAATACGCCATGTTCTGGCCCATAACGCATAACATAAACCAAGGATTTGTCTTCAGAGTCTAAGTCAGTTGCCATTAATATTTTGTTGTTGATAATTTTCGTTTCCCCAATTTCTATTTCCAGTCCATTATTGATGGCCATTCTGGGAGTCTCATCATCAACAGGAATAACCATAATGAGGACCATCTTTTCCACAGAGTGCTTGCCATCTGTTAGTTTAATCACGAAACTGTCTTCCTGGGTCTCAGAGTCATCATGCTCATAAATAATGCTAGAACTCTCTATGATCTGGTCCAAGGTGAAACTTTTGACCAAAACTGTGCCATTTATCAACTGGTTCATGATATGACCATGAGTGGGAAATTGGGTAATAGTGAAAGTTAAATCATCTGGGGGAATGTCAGCATCTGCAGCATTGAGAATGGGTGTATCGATCACCAGACTCATGCCTTCCATCACCATAAATTCTCTCATAAACATTTCTGGCTGTTCATCATTGGTGGGAATGACTACAATGGGGAAAAATTGTCTCTCTGAAAAGTTAATGCCATCAGAACAACGAAATACAAATCGGTCTTCCACAGGTTCCACCCCTTTATGGACACTCTGGACATAGTTAATGTGACTCTGCCTGAGATCTTTTAGAGAGAAGGCACTTATGGCAACCCCTGCACTTGATTTCTCAGAGCCTGGAGCTGGAGAAATGTTTTCAACATAACCTGAAGTTGGCTGAATAACTATTGTGCACAAGATGTCATCATTCAGGGAGTCTATATCTTCTGCACTTATATGTGTTGAGGTAATAACACTTTTGTCACCTTCCAAGACTATAAACTGTTCACCCACAGAAATTATGGGAGACTGACTGTCCACAGGGAGGATGGTCACCCACACAGTAACACCCTGGATAGTATTGCCACTGATTCTCCATTCTTGAGACATATCTGACAGACTCAGGTTAAAAGAGTCTACTTTGGGCAACAAGCCAATCTCACCACTGGTGTGGACATAGGCCACAGAGCCTTCCAAGATGTCCCTTTGAGTGAACCGCTCTGCCGGAGCTCCACTGACCAAGATCTCCCCATACAAGGGTGGATCTTCTAACAGAAAAGTTAACATCAAATCATCAGTGTACTCATTAGTCCCCTTAATGACATTGGCAGTGATTTCAGTAGCCCCATTTTCTAAAACATCTAGATACGACTCTAGAGTGCCAGTCGGAAAGCTTAGCATGGGCACCACATGGTCCACTGGCCGAACATTCCGAACATTCACTCTGAGGGTGATGGGTACCACATGGTGTCTATCACTGACCTCCAAGGAGCAGCTATCAGCCAAGGACTCATCCCCATTATGAACATAGGAAATCCGGCCCTGTTTTATGTCCTCTATGTAGAAGAGCCCTCCAACAGGCAGGACCTGTCCAGACACTTGCATGTGGCCATGTTTGGGTGCCTGTGTAAGAGTGAAAGAGATATGGGCCACATCAGTGTCCACGTCAGTCACATGCAACTCAGTTTCACTCAAAATGTGGTGGCCCTTCTCCTGAATAGTGAACCCAGTGTTGAGAATATCAGGTGGCTGGTTGTCCACAGGCTGCAGGTAAAGGGTAAAGGTGCCAGGTGCCACATTCCCAGCTTGGTCCTCCACCTGGAACTGGAACTGAGCCACTCTCGCAGCCACTCCCAGTTCTTGACTTGGGGGTCTGTAAGCAATTTTATGGTGATTGATCTGGGCTTGAGTAAAATGGGTCACCACCACTGAGGGGTTGTCAGTAAGGACCAATGTGCCCAGCGGGGCTGGTGAGTGGTTTTCATCTGTGTCCATGGGGGGCTGGGTCACTGTGTACTGAAGCTCTCGGTCATCTGTGTCCAGGTCAGTGTAGCGTAGCCATTTTTTCCTCAGTGGTGTGAGCTGGGATTCCTGCACCACCATCCGAAGGGGACAGCCACTGCCCAGCTCTGGAGGGAGGTGATCCACAGGATGAATTCGTATCACAAACCTTTGTAGTCCAGATTGATTAGGGGGGTCATGGTTATCCTGGACTCTAAAGGTGAATTGATCCATCACTGCCCCAGGACTATGGGGCCCAGAATGCCTGTAGAACAGCCTCCCCTCTGTTATGTCCTTCTGCTGCCACTCTGTCACTTTTCGCTCATAATATTCTCCCTGCTTCCTCCAAAGCCCCTTGATCAGCTCCTGTGCCTCATGGGGAGGATGAGTTTGGCGGAGAAGCAGGTGCCCTGTGGTGGAGGAGGATGACTCTAACACAAAAAGAAGAAGAGAGTCATCAGAATCCATGTCAGTGGCACTCAGAGTGAAGGGCGAGATGGGCACTGTTTCACCCTCTGCCAGTGTCAGCCCCGTGTTGGCATTGAGAACAGGTGGCTGATCATCCACAGGTACTAAGGTGATGGGGAACAGAAACTGCACCTGGTGCCTGTTTCCTCCATCCACCATGCGGAGCACCAGGTTGTCACTCAGGGAAACATCTCTGTCATCATGCTGGTAGATCACCTGGCCGGCTGCCAGCTCAGCCACTGTAAAGGTCTTGGGGGCAGAGTTGCCACTGGAAGCACCCAGAATGACAAGGTGCCCGTGGCGAAGCCCAGCCACCACTTCCAGGCGCACTGCTTCCAGGTCATCTTCATCACTGATGACTAAGTTTTGTGGTCCACTGCCTGCAGGACTTGTGAGTGGCCGGGACTGTCCCTCATAGAGAATCAGACCAGTGTTCCGGGTGACCACTGGTGCCAATGTGTTCATGGGTTTCACCACTACCATGAAGGTGAAAGGGTCTGAGGCTACTCCTTCCGGGTCCACTACCTCTAGCTCCAGTTGGAAGAGACGCTCCTGGTCAGAGTCTTCAGAGGGGGGCTGGTAGGCAATCTTCAGGAGGCGAAGATCCCTCTGAGTGAAGGAGGAGAGGGGCAGGCTGCGGTCATCAGTGCTCACCAAGTAGCCCTGGCCAGGCTGGAAGGAAGAGGTGAGGTTGAAGATCAAGAGGTCCGGGGGAGACTCAGCATCCTCTGCGGCCAGCATGTCTGGAGTCAGGGCAGTAAGTACAAACTGGTCGACTTCCATCATCATCATGGCCACAAAACTGGGCTTGGGTGCAGTGTTCTCCGCCCCTCCGCGGATCCTCACCAACACCTGGAAGTGCTCGCGTTTTAAAGCAGGGCTGTCCACAGGAGCCCCTCGAGAATGCAGCTCCACTACCATGGGCACCCAGTCCCTGTTGGGTGAGTGACTGGGGGCTGTGTGGCGGTAACGCACGCCCAACTCCTGGAAAGCTCTGCAGTCCATCAAGAGAGGCTTGGGGACGCCGCCCTCTCTGACTTCTGCAGGAACCTGCGGGGAATGGAGGAGTTCCCCATAGCGAGGCAGCGCGCTCAGGCCGGACAGGATGCCCACGCGGCACTCCTCTGTCTCGGGCTGGTAGGCGAACTCCAAGCTCCGCGAGTCCAGGGCATTGCTGATCCCCAGCAGTTCTTCCACGACCAGGGGTGAGTTTCGAGTCACGACCTCCAGCTGAGTGAAGACCACTTGCACTTCCAGGACCAGAGGTAGCACCATCGCCCCTCCCTGAGAGTCATAGCGCAGCTGCAGCCGGACTCGGTCTCGCGACGGGCTGAGAGCGCCCAGGTGCGAGTAGCACACCTCGCCCGAGCCGAAGTCGCACGGGAAGCGCTTGGGACTCAGGCGGCCAGGCCGCTGGGCCAGCGCGTCGTTGTCCAACACAGTCACCGCGCAGTGGTCTCCGGGCTGCACCTGCAACACTAGGTCGTGCAGCGGGTCCAGCCAGACTTCACGACCGAAGGGCACCCGGAGTCCGCGGTTCGCCAGCACAATAGCCTCTTCCGCAGGCACCCCTGAAGCCCCCATGAGACCCGAGGACAACAGTGTTCGGCCAGGGGCAGCGGACTGAGCGGAGATGCGGCTTACCAGAGACAGGAGCAGCAGCAGCAGCGCGGGCGGCGGCGCAGGTGTTGGCTGAAAGTTGGGGGAGTTGGCTGCTCCGCGCGCACGAGTAGCGACGCCCCGGGTCCGGGCTGCGTGCATGGTCCGAGGGTTACGTCTCCGACAGGTCAGTTCGAGAGCGTACAACGTGTCCGGCAGGCTACCGCAGACAACTTCGGAAAGCGCCCCACGCCTCCTGCCGGGTCCTCCGGAGCCCGAACTGGGCCAGAAGGATGGGAGAGCTGCAACCCGATGCTCAGCCCTCCCGGGCACAGCCCGCCTGGACTAGGGCTCGCTCCCGCGGAGAAGTGAGTCCTCTGCTCCTACTTCCCAGGTCCCCGGACCTCTCCTCTCGCACCCCCTTACTCCAGTCCTCCCAGGAGGCCAATCGTCGGTCCCGGGAGGAGGCCCCGAGTCGAGGGTTGGGTAGTGATTTCTGTCAATCAGTTCCCTGGGTCCAAGGCGGGGAAACTGCAGAGAGGGGAGGAGAGAGAAGGCGCAACAGGTTGTCTCGGAAGTGTGGGGAGCAGCGGCCTGGAGCTGCGGTCTCTGGGTCTCGCTTGGCTCTGGGCTCCCGGGTTTGGGATTCCCGCAGAAGGACAGGAACACTCCACTGTGCCTTATTCGCTTCTTGATCTGTTGGAGATAGATGATCACCCTCCACCTCCTTTCAATGAAATCCCTTCCAGAAGATGTTCATTTCTCACGGAAATGTGCAAAATCCTAGAGGAAGATTAAACACATTGTCGCCTAAGTCTGAATCCAAAGCCAGAGCCTTTCGCAAAGAAACTCTGGGACAGACGTATTTGTCAAAGAAGGACAGCTGCAGTGAGAAACCAAACCTAGAGCAGTCGCACGCATCAGCCCCCACGCTCCTCGCTGCCCCTAGTAAATTACAGTGGGCGCAGTCCTCGGATTGGTGAGTTTTCAAGAAGCCCCTCCTTTGCATCCAAAGTTCACAGAGTAAAAGGAATAAAGGGCATTTGGAATGCGTGAGAAATGCAGTCTGATCAGAATCACTAGACTTGCAGCAAAGAATAAATTCTAGGGAATGTAGCCCCAGGCTGTCCCAAAGCCGCCTCTGTTAGGGCAGCTGTCATTAGAGACGCCCCTGTTCTCTGCACAGTAATTAGACAAAGTACAAACTAAACCGACAAGTCAGCATCACATTTCTCTGCTTGCCTAGAGAATTGATAAGTATCCGGAGGCTAACTGAAATAGTTTCGGCCCCATTTCAGCGGGCTGGGTTTAAAGCCAGAGCTTGATTGGGCTCTTCCTGCCCTCTTGTGTTTGTCTGCTTTCAGTATTGTGTAAATCCCCTTTCTAAAGCCCCCACCCCCATTAAAACGCATTCTCAATTGAGTTTTTTGAGCAATCTTCCTTATTATCCCAAAATGTTTTATTGGGGATAATCTTTTTTCTCCAACCATACATCTGATTATTAAACAGCAATGCAAAAATTTGAATAATACTTATTTTGCCCCTTCTCCTCAAAGTTAAGAAATTGTTGCTGCCCTTTTAAATTTCAGTCTTAACTGCATGTGTGTGTAATTTTGGGAAGAAGTTTCTATCCTCTTCACTCTTGTGGGATTTTAGCTTGAGCTCCTGCAGTTGAAAATTTTCATCTCTGACACACCCACCAGTATTTTCCAGGCTACAACACAAATTCCATTCAAAATATCCCTGGAGATGTGAGATTCTGTTTCAGGAATCCCATAGGCAGTTTGTCTCTGGGAATCAAAGATGAAAAGTTCTGAAGTTTTTCAAAGAGAAGCAAGACATCAGTTAAATGACTTTTAGCCTTATTCTGTGTGCTGTCCCACTTCTAATTGATAGATACACTTTACAATTTTTGAAAAATGAACAACTAGTAACACAGGATGTGGATAAAACTGTATAAACATATGAGAAAATCCCCTTCAAACTCCTTGCCTATTCTCTTTGGAGTTACTACTTTATAATTTACTAAGATTATTTATTATTTCATAGAAACTTCAAGTAGCAGAGACATGGGACTATCCCATTTCCTTTTCACAAGTAAGTAGGAAGATGCCAAATGGAATACAGAATAAATTCCAAAATATAGCTCTTTCTATGTTATGTTTCAAATTCTGGTTGCGTGTTTTTGTTGAAAAATGTCAGCTGGAAGCCAGGTGTCCCTGAGGCATTGTGACCCTGGGTAAATTGTGATCAGATCCAGAGCAACAGTTTGACCCCTGATGCTTCCCAGTGGCTGCAGGGTTTTCCTTTCTTCCTCTTAAAGTCCAACTTGTTTGACTTGCCTGCAATGATAAGATCAGCATTTGAAGTGTGGTAGCATGCCTGAAGGGCAGAGTTCAATATTTTGTTTCATGCCCAAAAGAATACAGGCCACACTTACTTTTAAGTGGCCCAAGGAAATCAATAAACTATAATCATTTTGACTTTTAAACTTAATTTCCCTGGATTGAAGTAATGGAATGATTCCTAGGGTTATTGTTTTTGGTAAATGGCTTAGTTTTTATCTGATAGAAGGCAATGAATATGATGATTTGCTTAACTAAATTTCATTTTGATGATTATTGATAAATAGTGAAATATTACATTTTCATCTGAGTACTGAATCTAAATGATGATTAGCATCTTTTAAAATAAGAGCTCTGTGTTAGAAGATCTCTATGTTTAAATTAACAGTGAAATGTTATTTTAGGGCCAAAATTCTCAATATCAGGGGTAGGGATAATACAAATTAGTATATCTAAGCTTAATTTTTCATTTTTTTAAGTGTTGTAACACTTTCTGTGCATGCCCTGGGCAAAATAGTCTTAAAAGTAAATTTTCTTTACTGTTTTAAAATTAGTAATCTCCTCAAAATAACTTCAGATTAAAATTATTGGTTGTTAAAACTCAAGTCATTTCTGACCTGTTAAGCACCAGAGAATTTATTTTCTAAAATTAAGAAGGTGATGTGATGAATTTATGATTTAGGCAAGACAGGTATAAATCCAATGACAGGCCTGGGATTCTAAAGTAAGATTGAAGGTAAAGGTAGGTACATTTGATTAAATTTTGAATTTTTCAGAACAGTTTTCACTACAGAGTTTGTTATACTTTTCTTATGTTTTTCTACTGGATCATTAAGACTCTAATAGAGGACATTGCTTCATAGGTACTTTAAAAATACATGCAATGATTTCTCAATACTCCTGGCATTTTGGTTCCAGGACCCCTCAAATACCAAAATCTGTGAATATCCACATGTGTTACATAAAATCGTGTACTCTCTGCATATAATCTAAACATATCCGATGGTATAATTAAATCATTTCCAAAATACTTATGATCACTGATATAATATAAATACTAAATAATAGTCATTACACTATATTACCTAGAGAATAAAGCACGGAAAAATACTATACATGTTCAGTACAAACACAACATGTCCCCAACTGTTGCTAACCCTTAGTTGGTTGGATTGTGGATGTGGAACCCACAGATATGAAGGCTAACAGTGTGCATGGATAAGTGCAGCTTTGCATCAAGCATCTTTACTAGTTCTCAGCACCTTTTATTCTGTAATACTTTCCAAACCATGGCTTGCCTATGAACCCAAAATCTGACTGATTTCAGAGCTGAGAAGAGGAAGAGTAATCAGGCTGATACTGATTAACCAGGAATGGGCTCCAGGCTCACTTTTGGTATCTACTATGTGACTTGCAGTGCTTCCCCTTATGTCTCAAATACAAAACAAGGCATTCACTCTGTGTGGATACATTCCCATGGGTTCTAATATTATAGGGTCATAAACAAAATTTACATGGGCTATAGCCCTCACCCTTGTCAAAGACTGACTCAGTTAATAATAAAAATGTATGACTGTTACTGAATCAGAAAACTTAGCAACTTAAAGTTCATGCCCCTTGACAGTGTATCAGTTGCTCCTTTCTAAAATGTATAGAACAACATTTGCATTCATTGATGTATTGTGAGCAGCCTAAATACATCTCAAGTCATAATGTTTTAGCCAAAAGGAAAATTGAGATAAAAATCCAGCAATATAAACATTTAATTATGAGGACAGATGAGATTTCAAAGTAAATTTGTTATGAAGAGATACACGTAGCTTATAAGCAGCCAAACTTTCCAGACAAATTTATGTTCAGATAGGAATCTACTATAGATAAGAAGAAAGAACATTGGACTAGAAACTGCAAAATGTTTTGAAACTTGCTCTCCCACTTGCTTGCTTGAAGCTCAGAACAAGTCACTAAATCTATTTCTAAATATGTGTGATTGGGGAACAGGTAACATATATAAATACAACATGTATATGCACTTATGTATAGGTGTATATATAAAGTAGAAATGATGAAAAATGGTCTTTCTTTTCAATCGCTCCCTTATATGTAAATGCCAAATGGCTTGTAAGTAAAGATGACAAATGCTTAGTTTATTTCTGGTTCTCCTTATCTCATTTTTAGATTTGTTCCTTAATATCTTATTAATAGAAGATTTGAATGTTGTGACTAAAATAAACCACAATATTTGTATTAACTATATATTATTTCACTACTTCTGCATTTTACCTATATCGTCAGTCCTTCTACTTGTTTAATCTTTGATTTAAAATCATGCTCAATTTTTCCATTCTGTAGAAAAACAGTCTCTCTCAACAGCAATAACCCATGAAACTGGGCACACATTTCTCTTTCTGAATCTTGCCGAAATCACCTATATCTGCTTCTTAAACTGTCTCCTCAAAGTAACTTATGGACCTCCTAAAAGGTGATGCTTACCCCCCAAGTGATCTTATCCATGGTTTCACTCATTCTCTGCAATCCATCAACAACCTGGCAAGAATCTCTCCACAATATCCTTCACAACTGTCTTCTCTTTCCATTCCTGTCTGTCATCATTAGCCTCACTCAGTCGAACATTGTTTTTCTTCAAGGTTTCCTCAAATCTCATCCAAAGTATGGTGACAACTGTCACCTACATAGCTGTGCATAAAACAAAAGTACATCTTTATCATAGCAATTTTGCTAAAATTTTTTCTGGCTTCCCATTGCCTATCAAATGAAACACTTCTTTGTCTTTAGATTCTACACTGCCCTTTAAAATACTTTAGTTTTCATTGCCACATTAATTGTACATATTTATAGGTATAGTGCAACACATATTATGATTTCCTTGTATTAGGAACATTAAAAATGCTTTCTACTATTTATTTTGAAATAGTCTATTAATTGTCAGCTGTAGTTCTTCTACTGTGCTACAGAACATTTATTCCTGCTACATTTGCATTTACACCCTTGTTCATATCACATTTTACCA